GAAGGGCGCAGTTTGGGTGCAAAGCTTTCCACGTGTTCATGGCATCCAGAATTATCCCTCGTGTTTTGTAAATACGTGGAGAGTCTCTGAAGACAATAGCACCCAATAGGGTTTGGGTACTGCATACTACAGGCTGAGCTTTTTGGTGGCAGGATGTTACTGGGATTTGTCCATCTAGATTTCCCAGCTTCTGTCTCTTGTTTCTATTCCGGCATTCTGATACCTACCTGCTTTCCTTGGCTCTTCTAGACATGAGTTATCGGTAAGTTAAATTTACTGGCAAATTCCCTTGGGCCCTTTTAATCCACAGTGCCTGATAATTAATATTCAGACACATCATCCAAACTGGCCAGTTGGTACGTGAATGTGAATTAAAGGTTTTCTTGGTGGTGGTGTTTACCAGTGTAAGTTAGATTGCACCAGTACAAGTTAGATTTGTTTTTTTACATTGGGGGGGCGTTCAATGGTTGTGGTTTTTTTTTTAAAGTGTAACTCATTTTAGACACATCTCAATTTCATTCTACTTCTTGGAGCTCTTTTTTCTTCAAAAATTTATGAACACCTCACCTCATAAATATCTTTTCTCTGAAAGAAATTATCTGAATTTCTTAAATTTTCTAAAAAGTTCTCTTTCAGGCAGTCTCATTCAGGAGTTTTGGAAGCCCTGGGTACCTGAGGTCCTGCTAGCCATATCTCTGCACCCCAGCCTGCCTGCACAGAGCAATGCCCACCCTCTCCTGGCTCCACACTCAGGAGCAGGGTAGCCAAGGCAGTGCTACGGTGCGTCGGAGCTACATAGCCCTCTGGGAAGCAGGATTTGGCCCTGGAGCAAAGGGAGAAGGTGACACTTCCCCTGTCCCTCCCACTGAGCAGGCCATGCCCTCTGCCAGGGTTTGCTTTTCTTTTTGGGGGAGTCTATTGTCTCTCCTTTTAGGAACCTTCCGGTGTTATTCTCTCCCCTGAACTGGAATTGTAGCTCTTCCTCCATGTGTCCAGGTGGCTGTTACTCTTAGTTGATGAATTAGCTTCCCTGAAATAAAATAGCCTCATTTCCCTGTGAATGGGCTCATAGACACAGGAGTAGGTGAAAGCATGGCTTGAAGTAGGAAGGCAGGTATTGGCAAAATCCTTCACTATTGGCCTAATTCTGTTCTCTTAAAAAGTGAAATTCATAGAAAATTCATCTGCTTAAATGCAAAGGCAATGTTAATATAAGGCTAAGGTGATTCTGCAAGAGGTACTCATGAAATATATCAAAGGACGGCTAGCACGGCAGGATGTTTAAATCAACGTTATCCTGGGCTTTGCATATCATGCTCTCACGGTGTGTTACTGTGGGTGATTTGTTGTGTGTTGAGTTCAAAGCACTCCGGCTTGGTTCAACCCAACCATGCCAGCAGGAGCTGGTATTACTTAAAAGAGCGTATGGGTTAAGAGACATTTGTACTGTGCCTATGAAAGGAGGAGGTAACTGCAAAGTTGGACCACATGTTCCCCATGAGGTTTGTCCCTCTGTGTTAATTCCAAGTTATTTAAGTATTTTTTTGTCCGTATACAGTTCCCAAATGGCTAAACAGGATGGGGGGGATTTGTTTTTACCATCATCTGTGCTAAAAGTTATTAGTTTAGAAGGCAGGATGTCCAGTTTGGATCCATAATGCCATCCCTGGTGCACTGCCTGAGTTACAAGGACATGAATTTAAGGTCTGTGAAGTGTCTTCTTGCTGCTGCAGCTGCTGGTGGAGCCACTAACTTCAGCTGATGGACAAGAAGAACAGTGAGAACACTAGGGAGAACGTACTAGTAAGATTGTTGCTACATATTCTCTGACATTGAGGTTCTGCTATAATGGACAGGGAAAAAGGCTCATAAATACCCAAATAAATTTTTAACTAAGCCACATGACATTTTAGAGGGCTGGCTGTGCCTTCTTTTCTGATATTTTTTTGAAAGCCTTCTTGCAGTTTATGCAAAGAATAAGAAAATGATAGTGGAAAGATGAACTTTTTGCTTCCCTGAAGTACTATGTTTCCCTAGATTGTCTAAACTAATCCAGGTTTCTTCTTTTTATATACCTAATGCTATTTAAATTCTGCCATAATATTTGTCCACTCTTGGTATTTCTGTGTCAATATTTGAATTACCTGATTAATTTAATTCCATGGTATGCTAACGAAATGACAGAAAAACAACTAACCTGATGGTAAAAAGCACACCTGTGTATTCTGGATTTGAACCTGAGCTGTGGATGAATCACGCCATACAGCAGATAGTCGTTGCTAAATTGCTGAGTACAAAGATGCATTGTGTGACTCACTCGCTGTGTTTCTACTACCATTATAAACTCTGAGAGCACTTGATGAATAACAGAGAGTCAAGAATGAATTCATCCATGTTTCACTCTGTAACCATCTATTATAAATACTGAGCCAAATTTTGCCTCCAGATACACACAGCTCTCATTGAAGCCTGCCCACTGTATTTATTTTTAAAGATAAAAGCACTTCTGTTACTTTCACAGAGGACTTCTGTGGCACAGTCCATTGTAAGGATGTGAATATCCTTCCTCAAGAGCTTCAAGTGAAGCAGGGAGCGTCTGCCTGGAACGGGGAAGGGCACTTCAGGGATAATAGCCTCCAAACTGTGGTGCTGGGATAATAACTGTTATATTCATCCCAGTGATTTTCAGAACCGTGTTCCCCACGCTCGGGTCTTGTGTAACCTTCTGTCTCCCTGTAAGAGGCTCTGGGCTCCTCTCCTGGATGACCCAGGAGCTGAGCTGCTGAAGCTGATGGGCAGGTTCATGCTGCTCCTGGGGCTTGCTGTCAGGTTCAAAGCCCACTGGATTGGTGAGGAAAGCTGTGAGCTTGGGTTTGGGGTTCTATTTTTTTTTTTTCCTGAACTTCCTGAAGGGACATAGATGAGAATGTCTCCTTTTTTCCCCAGAACAGGTTCTATTCAGTCCTCGGACCCCAAACATCAGTGTCTTTGGATGCGTGCTGCTCATTTCTGTACAAAGGGAGATGTTTGTCCCGTGGCCTCAGAGCCCTTGGAAAGGCTCTGATCAGAAAATGTTCTCTAGTGTCATGCAGTAAGCAGACCTAGAGACAGAAGGTTATCTTTGGTATGCAGGAGATGGTCTTTGCCCAGCTTGGGCGCTCTCTCGTCCGTAATTACCCCACCAGCTCTTCTGGCATGATTTGAGATAGCTGCATTAAGGCTCTTGCTGTGTATGGCGAATGGCTCACTGATGAGTCTCCCATCAGGGTGAAGGAGGAGGGGGAGGCAAAGGAATGTGGAGTATGTTTACAGTTTCTGTGGTTGGTTGAGGCATGTCTCATTGCCACCGAGTTTTGTGATACTGCTCAGCCCACCATTTTCACTACTGCTCAGAGGAAACACTGGACTTCAAGTTTCACCTGCTCCTGCAGTCTTTATGCAATTAGTTATCCCCAAGGAATGGTGCTGGGTCAGGGTGAGAGCAGACAGAGCCGCACCTCCCAAAACACCATGATTTCACCAGGAAGCAAAAGAGTTATTAGTCCTTTTTGGGGTGGAACTACAGTTTGGGTCACGTATTTATCATGAAAGAAATCTAATTTTCATGGTTCACCTTGATTTTTTTTAAAGTAGCTCTGAAAGCCATTATTATTAAGTAGTAATATCCAATCAGAAAGCTGTCGAGTTATCAATTGTGAATTATTATCTGCCAAATAACAATAGCTTTTTCTCTTGTTTCGAGGTTTTCTGCAAACTGACCTGACTCTGTGGAAACTAGGGAGGTTTTCTGGTTTGTCTGGTTGGCTTTTGTTAAATGTCTGCAGAATATATGCACCATCCAGTTTTGTGCCCTCTTTTCTACACTGCTCAGCTTCTGCGATATGTGGCTGGTTGACTCTGTTCAGCTGATTTCTTTTAGATGTGGTGGTGCTTTTTCTCCCAGGAAAAAGAGGGTGCCAAGTACTTTTGGAAAAGGCCTGCTGGTTTTCATTTTGAAGTAGCTAGCTCAGGTCAAGCCTTTCTTCCTCCCACCCAGAGGTTACCGTCTCATCAAAACACAAATTATGATTTGTTGTCTTCCTAGGCTTACTTATGGAGGAGGCTTACTACTTACTTAGGCTTACTACTACATTTTTCTGTGAGGAATAGTCAAAGCCTATGGCTTGTGCAGTGGGTTCTTTTCCTGGCTTGGACAAATGAGAGCTAATTAACAGCAGTGAAATACATGTGAAGCAACAAATAATGATTAGTTTTGTTTATATATAAATACTGATAGTCATAAGAGAATGCAAATGCTTGCGTGGGAAACAACTGTTCCTCACGGGCTGTTTTGGACAAAAGGGAATGAGTGTGAATCTTTACAAAACAGCAAGTAAGAGGGGATATAAACAGGGTCAAACAGCACATCTGTTCGGGAACCCAGTGAATGTTCCCAGGCATGGTTTCTGTCATGGCTAGCAGCAGAATCCACGTGCCACAGAGGACGCATCGCCCTGTGGTTCTGAGCCCGAACAGCACCCGCTCTTCGCAACTGCAATGAAAGTTGCAATAGCAGCTTCACTTCCGTTAGCAGTTGTGGCATTCTTCCCTTTAGCACCCCTGGAAGATTACTGCATTATGACGACCGATTCACTTAGTGGGTCAACATTTAACTGTAATTAATGAGTTAAAATCAGGTTAACAAAAGGGCAGCCCTCAAGAAACTGGTGCTAATAATTGCAAGGCACGTGGAGTCAGAGAGGACCTGACCGATAATTTTTACCGCTTGTGGTTTGTTTTGATTTTAAAGCAGTTTGCTTACACCCAGGAAAGACAAGCAGAGACAATTCTGCATTTAAACCCCCTCTCATCTGCTGGACACGAGTTTTCCTGGCAGCACTGCTGGTAACGTGCCTGTGCTGCACCCGGTTGCTGCCTGCCGGCCAGGGGCACGGTCACCTGCTCGGAGCTGATCTCTCCTGCTAATGTCGTTACAGGCCAAGTGGTGAAGGCAAGGAACCATGGCGGAGGATAGGAAAGATGAAGCCAAGGCACCGCACTGGACTTCAGGTCAGCTAACAGAGGCTTCTTCACACCCACATTCACCTGAAATTAAGGAACAGGGTGGCGCAGGTGCCGGACTGGTCAGAAGCGCCAATGGATTTCCCTACCAAGAGGACGAGGAGCCAGGGCTGGGTGGCCATGAGCAGCCGGGGACGTATGCACGGACCAAAGAGAATGGGATCAATGGAGAGCTGTCAGCGGGGGACAGGGAGACCGCAGGTAACACGCCTCGATGCCCTGCCCTGAAACATGGGGCTCTGCAGACCACTGGAGGATGATCTCCAAGGGAAAATGTTAGCTGGAGCCAAGCATGCCCCTGGGCACAGGGGAACTGACATGAAGGAGTGTGTGCCTTGGAAGGGCACTAGCTCTTCACAGCAAGGGCTGCATCTTCATCTGGGTTTGCACAGCTTGTGTCCTTACCCAGGATCCTGGGCAGTGCTCTGAGAAGACTTCAGGAAAGGCAGGATGGTGCCTTAGTGTGTCTTGGTAGGTGGGACAGGGTCACCTCTCTGGAGAGGAGAGAACAGGCTGGTGTAGAGCAGCCACTCAGCTCCTCTGGACTGGGAGGGAGTAGAAAACCACTCAGCTGTTGTGCACGGATAGCTCATGTTGCTCTTGCATGCATTTGTGTGTGCACGAAGGATGAGTTCTCCTGTTGTTGCTCAAAAGTAACACCACCTTCTTGAAACCACCAGCTATTTGCAGAATAATGTGTTGCTCAATCTGACCAGGAATACCACAATTCAGCATCAGCATTTTTTCACCCTTGCCCTGACATATGTCACTGGATACTCACTGGGGCTTTGTCTATTTGTGAACTAAGTTAGGATTTTAAGATTCAGCTTGTTATTTGGGGGGGGGGGGGGGGGGGCTACTGTGTCAAAATGAAATATGCAAAGCAAGTTTCCTGTTTTAGAAGTAAATGCTAATTCTCTCTGTGCATAGTTCCTACTTTAAACCCCAAATGCACAGTGCAGGAGGAATTTTTCTTGTACAGACACCACTGCCCTTAATGCGTCCATCCATGCATGCTAAAGAGATCTTTCTAGCAATGTTTTTTGGCTGTTGACAGCATTTGGAGATGCTATCCATAATTTCTCAGCAGCTGGAGAATTTTAAGGCTCTTGGACCCTACAGTCATTTCATAAGCAATTGTGCTAGAAATGGATCTCTCTGCTAAAAGTAAATGGGTTTAAATTTTAAGAGTCTCTTCTTGTGGATAACCAAAACTTGAAAGCCAAAGGTAAAAGAAATCCTATGTAAGCATTCAGGGGAGCACACTGTTGATGATTGTTTGGGGGTATGATAACAAGGTCTTGTCTCTTTGCTGTAACCCAACTTTGTGCTAGGCTTAGCCAGCAAATAAGCAGGAGCAGATGTACAGGAATCACAGAGGTAAGATGCTGCAGTTCTTAGGGCTTGGCATGGGCGGTGGGAAGACTGAGCCTGTTTCTCCTCTTTGCCACAGATTTTTCACTCAACTTGGACAAGTCCCACCCATACACATAGAGAAGTGGGAATAACTGTAGGGGATGAAGAGGAATTTCCTCTCCTTAGAAAGAGAGAAATGCTCTTCTCAGCCTGTCTCAAGCTGCACAGTTGTCAGTATCCGAGAGACTTGAATGTTTGAGGAGTTTGCAGCTAGTGGGTGAGAAGAGGTGGGAACTGCTGCTGCCCATCAGCAGGCATCGTAGTAGTGTATTTTCATGTTGCTTTTTGAGGCAAGGGGTTAAACAGCGGAACAAGTAAAAAATGAGATGGTATAGTCTAGAGGAGGCAGCAGGACTGGGGACATACACTTGCCAAGAACAAGACTGCTCTAGATCAAGGTGAAGTTTGCTTCAGTCACCACTTTGTGGCCCCATTTCCTCCTCCCCTGCTTTTTTCTCACTGTCTGCTTAGATTGCAAGATCTCTGGTGTGGAGATTTACTGTCGATACATACAGGTTTTGTTTGGGAGTCTTAATATAGCTTATCTTGTGGCATCTTTCTCTGTCCTTGAACACCAGAAAAGTCCCTAAAACTGCTTCCCTTCATGCATGAATTTCTAGCTCTCTGGAAACTTGTGCACTGCACACTCACACACTGGTTAAGCCAGTATTTAATTAATGCAACGTAAACCGTCTTAGAATACTTAAGATGTATTTTTAATTATTTTTCTCTTTTTGAAGGAGAAACCTGTTGGCATCTTACTGTGGTGATAGAAAGGTACCGGGGTGTGCGTTGCCATCTTACGCTAGTATTTACTAGCTGGATGTGCTTAATGTGTTGTGAAGCAGAAAGTTTAGAGGTGGATTTTTGGTGTTTGATCTTGAAATCAGGATTTCCATTCGCCATCAAATGCAGTCATCTTTGCTGTGTTTGCTTGAAAATTTTAACTGCAGTGGGGTGTTGAATACCACTGATACACGCAATTATCAATAATGTGAATCATTTAATCATTTGCATTAGCTTACTGACTCCAAACAGCTGAGGAGAAAATGCACAGGAAGCCAAGGTCGACTGAGATAATTAAGCCAAACAGTGGGTATGAGTGGATTTACAGGGATTTTCTTTTCCCTGGTGCAAGTCCAGCACCATAACCTAGGAAAACCTCTGGCTTTTCAGCCTTCGTGTCGGAGTCCGTAAATCCCCAGCAACTGCAACAACCAGCTCATCCGCAGCAGAGCAGTAGTATAAACAGGGCATTTCCCAGGCAGCCGCCCGTTGCCCCATCCCTGCTGATGAGAGCTCAGTTACATTTTGAAGCATTTCACGTAAGGAAGCTCTCTGGCACCTGACTGACCCAGGAGCTGGGAGTTAGTCACCAAATGGGCCTCCCGTAGGGACAGGTATTCTGCAGCAGTGCAATAGTCCCTTCGGGGCACAGCAAAGCAGCAGGGCACCCATCTGCAGGGCTCGTGCTGTAAAACCTGAGGGCTGTGTGTTAAGGGAAAGGTTAGAGTCAGGCCACCGGGACAAAGGCACCTTCTGCTAACACTGGTGCAGAGGCGAGGGGTGGTAATGGGGGAGGAAATAACAGTTTTTGCCAAAACACATCCAATCCATCACTGCAAGTGACGTTTTTAGGTTTGCACTGTTAAAATTTGCCTTCCTGTATATATGTGTGTCTCTCTCTTGGCATCTGTCTAAGAGTTATTGAGTCTGACCTCAATTTTGGAAGCCTCTGAATCTGGCTGTTGTGTTGCCTTTGATTGATCTGTCTCGGTATCGTGCTGGTAATGGCTGCATTATGGAGACACATCAATGCCCTCCTTTCAAATGGACAGATGGGAACGTGGGAGAGTGCACAGTGCTCTGGACAGGGCAGCCTCAGGGCCTGATCCGGCGTCCACTGAAGTCACAAGCAAATACGTGAGAGAGAATAGGTTGGGTTTTTTGGCACGGCGCGTCGGAAGCTGTTATGGATGTGATATAAGTAAGGGTGGTAAAGCAGCTATTCCTTTTTATATGTATTTGTGTATATATATATTATGTATTTGTGTGTATATATATTTGCATTTAGACTTGGACTGCCCCTGGCAGACCAGCTCAGCCCCACTCCATCCTCAGCCCTGTGCCTCTGCCAGCCACAAGTCCCACGTTGCTCCCGAGAGGCTCCTGAAGACACCTTGCCTTTGGGGTGGTCTGCAGCACCCCACAGCCCGAGATCCACCGAGTTTCAGTGCGCTCTCCCTGATCCATGCCTGTCCATGTCCTTTCTCACCTGCACACACACGCAGCATCTTTAGTGAGGATTTGGAAATACTAAGAGGGGAGGATGAGATCTGTAGCTCTTATCAAGCCAAACATTTTCACGTCACATGAGATGTGTGCTGCAAAGGAGGCGTGATAGAGTAATCTTCAGAAACTCACTCTGAAGTGGGCTGATGTGAAAAGCTTTGGATTGGACCCCATGGTAGAGCACAGGATGTTTGACTTACAATGAGATACAAGAGTGTCAGCCTTTCCTTTGCGTACTCAAAAGTCGTGGTCAACTAACTGGGAGGAAGCGCTGAGGAGCAGTACAGATGTGCAGCAGCGTTCTCTGGGAACCAGCAATTCAACATAATCCATCGTATTTGTCTTGGAAGGAACATCAAGCTGCAAAGGTTTGGTTTTTTACACTTAAAATGCATTTATTTTTCTTTTCAGTAATATAATGACTAACCTGTTAAATTTATATACTTAGGGGTAAAAGTAGTTAGATGCATTGTGAAGCATCTTCTACAATATGTCTTTATGTACAGTGACTCAGCTGATTGAGTGCTTTCTTCATTATATGCCAAATTCAGGTCTAAAATCGGAGGGGGTTGGGCTATGATTTTCACACAGTTATTTGATGAATTCTTTTTTTGACGGATGAAGGGAAAGCATTTCCTGAAATCCTCTTACCAGAGCCTCAGGATGTGGCTCTGTCCTGATACCAGTCAGTGTTAAGGACAGTAACACGTCCTGCCAGAGTGACAAACAGAGCCCTTTGTTAATTGGCAGGGTACTCAAATCATGTGAGATGCAAAGAGACTGCTGGAAAATTGTAGCAGACTTCCTGACACAACACAGTGGATCGACTGCAGGTTGAGTGCTCCTGCCTTGTTTTTCAGAGCCCTTGAGTCTTAGGAAAGGTGGGTGAGAGGGAGCTGATGACAGATAAATGAGAGGCTGGGATTTTTGGTGGCTGGGGGGACCCACCGACTGGTACGTATTAGTCTGTCAGTGGAACAGAATGAGGGGGGAGCTCTAGCGAAGAGGAATGAAGAAGTGGCAGCAGTGGGCTGAGGGGTGGGGGAGCAGACCCATCAGAGGGAGAACGAGGAGAGGTGAAGGGCCGAGAGCTGGTGAGATGAAAGCTGTGAGGGAGCAAAGGGGGAGCAGGAAAAGAAGGAACAATTGAAGGTAAGGCAAGGACAGTAGAAAGAGGTTCAGTTTTATCTGTTTATCTGGAGCCAACACAGCTTTTGCATGATGGTGGATATGACCCCAGAGAGGAGAGGAATCAGGCAGCAGAGGAACAACTGAGGAGAAAAGTGGCAAGGGGCAATTCATGTTAGAGCCCTGAATGTAATTTGTCCGAATTCAGCCATTTGTTTTAGGCTTTGTTCAGTCAGACTAAATGGGCACCTGTAACAAATCTATTCCTGTGACCAGCTACTCTTTAAGTAAGCATATTTGAATAAGCTGCAGGGAACGTCAGCCTGAATGACTGCCCGGTCGTGGCCAGTAAATACTTGAGCTGA